CTCAAGTCCCCAGAGCGGTTTCATTACAGTAGGGAGTTAGTTGCCAAGGAGTTCTGGTGGTACCAAGGGTTAAAGCCTTAGACTGCTAACCTCAAAGTTGGCTGTTCAAACCTACCAGCCACTCCACAAGAGAAAAATGAGGCTGCCTGCTCCCTACAGACTTAATCTCAGAAACCCTGGATAGAGTTTCAACTCAGTGGCAGTAAATGTGCTGTTTTGTTTCAGGGAGCTTCGGGGAGCGGGCTGAGCAGGGGAGTAATGTCATCAGCCTTTTTAAAGCAGAGCTCATCTGGCAGCCATAGGAAGAGAGTTAGGAATAACAGTTAAGCGCTTAGCACCAGGCAGTTACGCCTAATTCAAAATTCATCTGAGACTAATCTTCCCAAAGCAATGCCTATAAAGTGGGAGGGATGTTTCCTAGTGTGCACAGAGCTGTAACCACAGAAGTGCGGTTTTTGGCTTTAACTTGCTTCCCTTTCTCTGCGCCCTTTCTCCAGGATTCTGCAGAAGGCTGGCCCTGAGTCTGAGGAGCAGGCGGTGCCCTGGTGCGGGCTCAGCCTTCCATGTGGCACTTCAGCCCCTCTCACCTCTGGTCCGAAGCGATTGATGTTAGCTCGCTTCTCTGCCAGCTCTGCCATTCCGCTGACACTTGGATATCATTATTGGAGGATGTAAGGAAGACCCAGGGCCTGATCGCAGAACCAGGGACTTGTAATGGGATCACTGCTGTGTAACCACAGGTCCCTACAAAGGTGGCAGTGGGGGCTGGGGGGTGGGGTGGGGATGGGGGCTGGCTCACCTGGCACCCAGGGCCTCAGCCTGGAAATTGGAAAGTATAAAATTCATAACAATTTTTAACTGGTAGCTGGGGTAAGGGGTGGGGGAAGTGGGGAAGGTGTTGCATTATTTCAAAAGGCACCAAAGTGAGACTGTATTGACATCTTTATCTCACACGGCGTTTCTGATTTGCAAGAGTTAGCATGGCCCCGGGTGCCTGGGCTGCCAAGGCCGAGGCTGGAGTCGGGAAGGCCCAGGCTGAGGACAGGCAGCCAGTGAAGCCGTTGTACAACCCACTCTGGCGCCCCAACCTGGAGGCAAAGCTCAGCTCCACTACTAAAGATAGGACTTCTGCTCTGTTCCTAGTCCTGTCAGGCAAGGCCCCAAGACAAAAACGGAAAGCACAGACCCACTGCTACGAAGTCGATTCCGGCTCACAGCAACCTCGGAAGAAGGCAGAGTAGAACTGTCCCACAGGGTTCCAAAGACTGTAAATCTTCCTTAATTGTGAAATGTTCTGTTTGGTGCATTGATTGCAGCCCCCACAAGGTTGGAGCACACGTCCCACTTGCTCTCTGCATTTCCCAGTTCTCCTTTGCCTTCTGAACTTCCTCCCTGGGCAAATACTTTTCATCTTGTGTGGGTCTTCTGATCTCAGAGCCTTGGCGGCTAGAGTTTTCGTGGCCTATTCCTCTTTCGCACTAATCCCCTCTCCGTGGCTTTGACTTTCCTCACTCCCCTTTGCTGTGGCTCGGGAGACAAATAGCTGCACCCTAGCTCAAGCAGCTCACATAAGCTCTAGAACTCAGTCACCACCCTCTCCCCACAGTGGGTTGTCATAGTGCTCTGCGCTGTGCCTAGGGCCTGAGCTCCCAGACTCCCAGTGTAGTCCCTCTAGGTGCTTGGATACAGCTAAGAAATTTTCTGACTCGCTCCTGTATGTTATACTTGGATTTATTTGCAGTATATGTAAATGCTTACATAGAAACATTCTCCGTCAAACCTACATATATTTGTAGGTATAACCTACTTGTCTCTCACACCTGTTCAGCTGGCATGTCTATGTGTAACCTTTTATAGATTATTGTTGTTACGATTACCCCAGGACTGTGTATGCAATAGTATTTACCTTGGTCACTTTGCACTCGGTACTCCTCTCAGATTCCTCCTTTGTCGGGATCATTTTTGTGCCGACCTCTCCCCTATTGTATATGTCTCGCCCTTCGCCCAATATACTGCATGTCTCCCCTCTAGTTAGGGATATATCGCCCTCCCACCTCCACCGCTTGGCAACCTTCACAGGAGGTTTCTTTCTGTGAGGCCACCTTTCCGTGGCTTCTCGTCTTAGTGGACTCCTGCAACAGCCGCCTTTCACTCAGCACCGTGGCCTCCAGCTC